CGATTTCAAGAAGTCCAGTGGGCCCGATGGCGCTCCCCGTATTGTGCTCAGGACGTGCGCTCCCGAGTTGGCTCTGGTCTTAACGCGCCTCTTCTCGTTTTCCATAGTTATGCCCAAAGTTCGAGCCTCTGACACCAACTCAATAGCACTGCCCAGAACCATCACCGCAGGTGATGTTCAATTGCAATTGCAATGCAATTTGATGTTACATCCTGAATCTGTTTCTGTGAACCCATAATCATGAATTTGGACTTAGCAGGATTTAAGGCAAGAGTATTGTCACACGACCATGCAACGATACGATTTAAATACTCATTGATTTTAGCAATGGCTTCAGCAGTATCTTTTGGTAAGAACAGTAGGTATAATTGGGTGAATATCAACAAATGCATTTTATTGTAAGTTTTGGTGGCGCAATTTTTTTTTTTAGATTTTCCAGTATCCGAGACTCGTTTGCAATAAAATGAAACATTTCATTTATATATACGTACCGGGACATAACCATTTCCATTAATTTCAGAGATATAAGCAATTAAAAATTTTTCTCGCCACCAATACTTAGAAATGCCACCAAAACGCTTATCGGTTGCACCAGAATTGAATATTGCCACCAATGTTGGAATATATAAAAAACAAAGACTATTAAGTAAATTTAATTGTGATAAAAATTTGTTTGCCCCTTTAAAACGACGCATAGTTGGAATTTTTCTTTTTAATACCATGTGACGGGACGAACGAGTCATGCGCCTGCTGGTAAGCTACACGCTTGTCTATAACAGTGGCAGTGCCACTCAGAGCTTTAAATAAGCAAAGATCTGAGGAGCACTGCCACTGTGCCCGTCACCCTGAGACGTAAGTTGGCAAGTCCCATGTGCCTGTAACTTCACCAGCACCCTTACCCTTCCAAACCTAACTATGCTAACATTACTGCTTGGCGGCAGTAGGTAAGGTGGCAGTACTTCCCTGGATTTTAGTGAATGAATTCATTGTTGTTTTAATTGGCAGTTGAAGAACTATGATACACAACGCCATCTCTACGAATATTTCCTAAAGATAAGTTGTAGAAACCCAAATGTTTACCATGAGGACATACGGTAGGTTTCTCCGGACATTAAGGCTTGATGAGGCATCATCATCATTCACAGACTGATTTCACCCACTGCTGGGTATAGGCCTCCCGGAGTTTGTGCCATCCATCACGGTCCCGTGCTAGCCGCATTCATTCACACCCCGCGACGCGCACCATGTCGTCGACCCACCTTGCAACAGGGCGCCCGACGCATCTTTTGCCCATCCTCGGCCACCAATCAGTCGATGTCTTGTTGGTGGAACAAGACATCGACTGATCATCACCTTGCCTAGCTAGGTGTCCCGCCCATTCCCATTTGAGTTCCATGATCCGAGTTCCAGCATCCTAGACTTTCGTCCATCGTCGGATCTCAACGTTCGGAACTCGGTCTACAAGGCTGATGCCGAGCATAGCGCGCTTCATGGCCCTCTGTGCAACTCTCAACCTGTATACAGTCTCCTGCGTGGGCGTCCACATCTCGTCACCATATGTCATGGTGGGCAGAATACATTGATTTAACAAGCGGGTCTTCAGACACTGTGGAACCTTACCTGATTTAAGGATGTCACCTAACTTGCTAAACGCAGCCCATCCCAGCTGGATTCTTTTTGAGATCTCTTTAGGCTGATGCTCTTTGCCAAAGGATAGAACATGTCCGAGACAGACGTACTGATCGACTCTCTCCAGCCTCTCATTTCCCACCGTGACAGTGGTATTTGATGGACTGGAGAGATTTGCCATAATCTTCGTCTTGGACATATTCATCCTTAGACCAACTCTCAAAGAAGCATCATATAGTTGTTCCAGCGTCCTTTGGAGATCGTCGAAACTTGCAAATAGCACGAGATCGTCCGCGAATCTTAGGTGAGACAAATGGTGTTACACCATTGATGTTAATGCCGCGGTTATCCCATTTAAGGGTTTCGTCAAGTTCACTGGTAAGCCAGATGGTCAAAATCTTTGTAAACAGTTATAAATCTGAGAGAGCAAGCTAATCGGCCGATAATTGCTAAGTTTTGCAATGTCGCCTTTTTTGTGGATAGTGGTGACGATGGCATTCTTCCATTGCTCTGGTGTTCGAGCTTCATGAAGAACTTTGTTGAAAAGTTTCACAAGCACTTTTACCACAGGATTTCCTCCTGCTTTGAGTAGTTGGACTGAAACAACATCATCTCATCATCATCAGATGATGGTGTTGATAAGGCACTGAGTACTAATTTAGAGTTATTACTTTTTCTTCAAATAACCTGAAGAATGAGCCAGTCTTTTTGAACAATTTCGTAATGTACACGTTTAATTTGAATATTATTACCGGTAGCTTTTGACGCCAGATGATCGAATCAATGTCAGTAATGTCATTCCCAAACGACACTGATTGATCTGTAGGTGTCTTTAAAAATCCTCCAACTACATCCGGGGCACCCGCGATTATTGCGAATGTGGCCATGGCAAGGGTGCCCAGGAGTTGAAGGATTATTAAATAGAACTGCAGATCAAAGTGTTATTTGGGAACAACATTACTGATATTTATTCGTTTATCTGGCATTAAAACCTGCCATTGATAAAATTAAAATTAAACCTGTAGAAAGTTACGAAATTGTAGACAAGACTGGCCTTTTCCTGGTAACATGAATTTTCTTCAGGTTGTAAATAAATTTTATTGAATGTCAAGGTCAATGAAATTACTCCACTAGTTAGTTATAATTGTACCAAGTGTTATTTCTTCAGGTTATTTGGAAAAAAGTAACAACTCTAAATTAGCATTCTGTGCCTTATTTTGCATCAAGTCTCAATGTCTCGATAAACCCACCGCATGTCCTCATGGTAAACATTTGAGTTTATACAATTTATCTTCAGAAAACATTCCTGGAGATAGCGTAGTCTATCGTAGTTATTCAACTGCCAATGAACTAAATCTTCGTGTTTGGCGTTTTGAACAAAATCATTTAATCAATGATATCACCGTTAATTTAACTAAAATACAAATTTAAAAGATCGCTAAGGTACAAATAGATTAAAAAGCAATTAAGTAATTTTTGGTTATCTGAAAAATTATGAATAACACTATCTTTCTTAAGTTTATTGGGACAAATAAACTATAATACTTTAAAACAATTTTCGAAAGTGAACGTTATATTCAAAAATATCATAACAATTTCAAATTTGGTGGCGTTTTTAAGTTAAGGTGGTAACACAAACGCCACCAAAACCAAATTGGAGCCACGTAAGATTAAATCTCAAAAAATAAATTACGGGAAAAAAAAGTAAAAGCTTAAAAATAAAACCGAGACGATTAAATTGTGATAAAATACTGACAAAATTAGTCTCTTAATTTGGTTTCAGAACACGACCTTAGGATAAAACAAAAATTGAGCCCAAATGGAGCCAGGGAAGCTGAATATTTTTTGTCACACGTGCCACCAAAGGGCATATAATTACTTTTTTGGCGGGAAATGGAACCCAGTGCCCATGCTTTTCGCTGCCAGGTCCTAATACACGACTGAGGCTTGAGCGGGGCAAGAACGTAATGGTTTTTAGTTAAACTACTTACCAGTTGCAACCAGTTGAATATTTGCCAGCAAAACTACAATTTTCGCGTGGACAAAATTTGATCAAATACCCAGCCTCCCACATACTGGTAATTGCAATACTTTCAATGATTTTAGTTAGCGCTTCTCATAGTGAATAACATACATGGAATTGTTTTTCTTAAAAGCATACACATTTTACCAGAACGACTATTTTATACAATGAAACAGAAAGTGGACACACCAGCAAAACTGAAAATCGGGACATTAATATTTTTTATTAATTATTATTGTACAATGAATTTTCTGAAATTCTTGCCCTAAACTCATTTTACGTCTAATTAAACTATAAAAAATAAATCATTAATATTTCTTCACTTTACACCTGGTTTCTTAGCCTGGACTCGCAAAATTTACGCATGAGATATTCACCCAATTGCAAATCGTCTGTGTAAATATGGTACCGACATAATCTGAAACACTTGACAATTTCGGATTTGTAGACAATGACCAAGAGAGGGCTAAAAATAGATCCCTGAGGCACTCCTCTGTCAATCGGACTACAGGCAGATCTCAAGTAGCTACCATCTGGTCTGGGTAATTTTACCGGTTAAGTGCGAGCAGTGAGATAACTTTCGAACCAATCGCAGGCAGAACTGTCGAATCCATAGTACTTTAACATTGCCAGCAATAAATTGACGTTAATTGAGTCGAATGCAATAATTTTGATTGTATGTGGGAGTGTTAATAAAACCATGTCAGCAGTAATTCCATCATATCCCTCAGCATTAGATTTAATACCAAGCATAATTTTAGATATCGTATTTTCATCAACAGGGCTTAGGTCAAAACTAGAACTACAGAATCTGTTAGCTTTATAAAAAGAAAGGACCTCATCATTCACAGAATTGGTCCCTGGGACACTTAAAAACTGGTTATTAATTGTATCAGGATTATCAAAGTGCATAGGTGTTTTGAGTTCCCTCTAAAATCAGGAAGAACATCACGTTTAAGGTAAGACCACAGCTTTTTTGAATTTTTTGAATTATTATTAATATTTCGAGTAAAATAGGCCTTCTGTTAGCAGTTTAAGATAATATTAATAAGGTTTTTCAACATTTTATGCTGCTTTGTCATTACATTTTTTGAAATTGTTGTGTGCGGTGTTACGCAACTCAATCATATATTTAACATTACTGGTGAACCTTGGTTTGTTTTTATCTTTTACTGTGACTTTCCCGATTGGAGCAAATATGTCAATAAGTGTAGTCAGAAACAGGTTGAACCATGTCACTTTTTCATCCACAGGCTCTAAATCCAGTACGTATTTCCAGTCCAATTTTAAAAGAGTACCATAGAACTGTGATTTATCGATGTCTTTTAAAGGCCTGCTATAGAATGTTTTTTGATTGCAAACTTTCTTCCGTAGTCTTAGTTCACCAATAATAAGCATGCTCACCAAGCTCTTCTACATGATCAACCAGAACCCTTGAGACCGAAGAGTCTGAGCAAAATAGATCTATCAAGGTTGAGCTATGACTGGTGAAATGTGTAGGTGTTGTCACATAATTACTAATGTCATGTAGTTGAGGAAACACATCAATTATTGTTTCGTTTTATAGTCATTTATATCCATTGACTTTTTATATCCAATAAGTTCACATTAAAATCTCCAACTAATACAATTTGATTATATTGAGAGAAAGATGTAATGGTGACAGTAAGTACGTCAAGGAAATCATCAATATTACACCAAGGAGATCCGTATGCCGTTCCAACAATCAAATGTGTCGAATTCATTGTCAACCTTAGAATAATAACGCATAGAATGATAGTTTCATATCAAACGAACTGTCACAAGTGAGGTAAAAACCAAATTCATGTAGGCGTAAGCAACTTGTAACTACGCACGTCGGCACGCACACAAATATACAAATAATGATGCCATGGAATAACATTTCCCTCAAAAGTGGGGAAATTGTATCTTGCTTAACTCATCATTAAGTTAAAGGTGCCTACAGATTTGCCCGACATTGTCGATCAGGTGCCTACAGATATATTTTTTTTTTTATTAATAAATAAATCTCGGTTTTGTCGATGAAAAACGAATATAGCACTTATTTGTAAATTCAAGATGGCGGACACGATTTTTCAAAAAATGCTATATGGGTATCCTTTTCGAGGTATTTGGGGATGCTCATTACGAATATGGCACTAATTTCTAAATCCAAGATGGCGGGCACGATTTTTCGAATAATGGCAAGTTGGGTATCGTTTTCAAGGTATTTGGGGGTGCTCATTACAAATATAGCATTTATTTCTAACTGCCTCTGTGGCCGAAAGGTTACCATGCCAGACTGCCACGCAGAGGTTCGATTCCCGGGCCGGGAGAAATATTTGTATAGCCTACATTTATTTCTCTCGTGAGTTTGGGTGTAATTTGTGGTTGTCTATGTGTGTGTCCATGGCACCCGCGACACAGGGTTTCCCTAGTGCGGGGCTATGTTGAGTGTGAGCGTTATTATTATTATTCTAAATCGAAGATGGCGGACACGAGTTTTCAAATAAATGCAAAATGGGTATCATTTTCGAGGTATTTGGGGGTGCTCATTACGAATATGGCAATATTTTCTAAATCCAAGATGGCGGACACGATTTTTCAAAAAATGCTATATGGGTATCCTTTTCGAGGTATTTGGGGATGCTCATTACTAATATGGCACTCATTTCTAAATCCAAGATGGCGGGCGCGATTTTTCGAATAATGGCAAGTTGGGTATCGTTTTCGAGGTATTTGGGGGTGCTCATTACGAATATTGCTTTTGTTTGAACTGTCGTGTTTGCCATCTTGGATTTAGAAATGAGTGCCATATTTGTATTGAACATTCCCAAATATTTCGAAAACGATACCCAACTTGCAATTATTCCAAAAATCGTGCCCGCCATCTTGGATTTAGAAATGAGTGCCATATTAGTAATGAACATCCCCAAATACCTCGAAAAGAATACCCATATTGCATTTTTTTTTAAATTGTGTCCGAAATCTTGGATTTAGAAATAAGTACTATATTCGTAATGAGCACCCCATATACCCCGTAAACGATACCCAGAATCAAAATCAAAATAATCTTTATTTCATAGGTAACATTATTACACTAGAAATCGTCACATTGGTTAAACTCTACCGCTCATTCGTAAGGCAGATTCTCCCGAGAAGTATGAGCAAGAAACTCTAGGGGGTTGCTCTTTGTAAACAACATTTGTACGCATTTAACTTGCAGAAATGGAGGTCAAATGCACACTTACATTAGAATTAAAAAAAACCATCTGCAGCCATCGCGATATTGCCTATTCTCAAAAAATTACGTAATATAATTATTTTGAAACAGAATAGCAAAATTGGGAGAAAGAAATCCGTTACTTTGCAACATTTTCGTGTCTTGTTGCAACGAAATTCATTTTCGGTTTTAGTGAATATTTATATGTATAATACATGACACGTAAATTATTATATTAAGAAATTGAAGTTTGCTACAGGAATCCAATAATGAGGGCAGATGTGAAAATGATTTCGACACCTGAAACAAAAACTTCCAGGAACGGCGTGATGCTGAGGGGTGCTCATCCTCAAAATCGGAAGACGAGTCTGTTGATAACGTATCTCTAATTACACACCGATGGAAGAAGAAGAAGCGTCGATGCCTGGCATCGACGCGGATACTTTCTCTAATGTAAATTCGGTAGGAACACCCGCTCAATATTTTGAGAAATATTTTACACCAGACGACACGGTGACTATACTAGCAAAAAATAGTCAATATTGTTTATTATAAAATTTATACTAAGCACTTATTAGTCCACGACAACTCTGGAAGTTTTTGTTTGAAAACAATTTTGTTTATTATCTGTCAGCTGTTTTTTCCTATTATTCTTTAAATTAATCACTATTTCACTGAGACAACATTAACACCGTCAAATTACACTTTCCTTTCTACGAGTAAATAATATTTAGGCATTTGATATTCTAAAAATAATTTTAAAATACTAAAATACGCCAGCCAACTTGAGACGACAGTGGCGCCACCTTCTCAATTCTTCAATGCAATGTAATTATTTTAATTATCACAACAAAAAAATTATAAATGCCTTCTAAAAACGTGTTTAACTTGATTATAATACTTTACGCGATCGCTAGCAACAACTTACAGTAAGTTCATGATAGAGGTACTGTAGACCTCTGCGGTAAATCGCAGCGTGTATTGTTTGCTAAAACTAGTTTTGGTAAGTGCTAGTGTTTCTTATTTATTCAAAATATTTAGGAAATACTTTTTTTAATGTAAGCGGTAATAATATGTACTTGTCACTAAAAGATAACAAATGGATCACTACTGGGATGATTTTTAAAATTTAGTTATTTATTAATTTGACATTTACTTACAATCAAATTTTTATTGAATTGATATTCAATTATTTTTTGTGAAATTACTCCACTAGTTTGTTATAATTATTAATACAAAGATCGAACACTCATAAAAACACTCAGAAAAAATTCCTTCGATTCGGTCGGATTCGAACCGACGTCTTCTTGCATACCGTGCCAGACGCTATACCAACTAAGTCGAGGAACGAACCAACGGACCTCACGAATTCTTCCATGTGCTTGCGTCGTGTCTTTGTACTTGGTCTTTCAACGATTTTTTAATCGTAGCGCCATCTATGAGAAATCTATGACAGATTTATCACCCTGTTAGTACTTTTACAGCTACCAGTCCTGGCGAGAGATGTCGCTATTCACTGTATTAATTAAATTTTTATTGAATCGATATTCAATTATTTGTTAGTTGGTTGGAATTTTTTCTGAGTGTTCGATCTTTGTATTAATAATTATAATTTACTTACAATATAAAAAATTAAAATTTTAAGTTAGATTGAATGATGATTTTGGTTTGTTCAGGGTGCATCAGTGGTCGTGATTGTGGTACGAGATCGATACGATACCTTCGAGTGCAGCGCGCCTCTCTGTGCAGAAATCGCTTTGGAAATCTGCAACATGTGCCCTAATGTAAATTTATTATTATTTGTGGATAATCATAAAATATGCTATTACTAGCCACAAAAGTACAAATTTTCTCTATCTTTCTTTCTAATAATCGCATAATCTCTACTTAACAAAATACTTATTATGAGTATAAGTACCTTCGACCTTCACATTGCTGGATATTTTAAAGATATTTGTTATGAATAATTTTGTCACCTCACTAGCTCGAAAAGGCTTTCTTTCTCGTTAGAAATCTGCGCGCAAAAGCGTTTTTTTGCACGCTAGCGTTAGCGTGGAAAAGGTTTTTGAAATTCGAACTTGACGATGGACTGTGGTGTGGTGCACCAAACTTTTCCTTTCTATAAAAAATAGGGTAATGACACGTTCAACCTTAGAGCATTAGGACCTTTCAACTACGCGAGATGTCGTACATTACTTATTTATGTACTACGAGGACATTTTTCTTATATACTGAATTCATCCTTGTAGACGTTTACAATAGTAGCGACAGAGCCGGTAGAAAGTATGGTGCCCCTAATTGGGGAGATTCAACGCCTGCGCTGCGCGTACAACCCGCGCAAGCTGTTGGGCTGTGTGGAACTCAATTGCGTGCGTGCAAACACTGTACTGGCGGACTTCCTACGAATGCCCCCTGAATCCGTCCGCGTACCCGTAATTGGGGGTGCTACGCCACGTACCATGGTGCCTGTATTATCAGCCGCTTGCCATCCTTGCACCATGTCACAGGAACAGGTAACATACTCCTTATTTTGGTAAAATGTCTTGGCACCTTTATTCTTGAAAGTTATGGGTACTGTGTAGGTACATTGAACTGATGTTTTGTTTACGTATTGTAGAGAACTATTACACCATGTCGAGCGTGGGTTTTCATTATTTAAAATATTGTTGCTATCTTTATAGGCCGTGATGCAAACACAGGTATGTGGGGGAAACCATGGCGAAACAGTTCTCCTTTGTAAAATGTTTGTAAAGATTCGTGCTCATAATGTTTACATTTCGAAGTTTGATGTTTTCTCTTTATTATTTTTTTAAATTTATTATAAGATATAGAAATGTAGCTAAAATGTTTAAAACTAATTTTCAAAATCTGTAAGGTACCTGACACCCTAACCTAGTCTATTTGGTTCCGAGCAGTTGGAAAAATTACCATTTTGAAAAAATCATATTTTTCAGAAAAATAAATAATTTTCTAGATATTTTCCAATATTTTTCCTTTAATTTTCCACATTTGACATTGACACCTGTCAAAAGTTGAGGTTACTGAACGAAAACAATGGAGTCTATAAAAAGGGTTTTTTTTCGCTGTTGTGAAATATTTTTTTCTCGTTTTTCTCTATGTTGCTTAAAACTATACAAGTTTATTTTATAATTCACGCTAAGTAAAATTTCAAAAGATATTTCTAAACGTAGAACATATTAATACCTACGAGCCTTTTCCCAGTTTTTAAAATTTTTCCAATTTATCAGGAATTTTTCCGAAACAATTTTCACTATTGGAAATTTTTCGAAAAATTACCCAATAGTACCTAGTCCCGAGTCTGAAGAAAGTCAGAATCAGTATGAATAAAGGTGTTAAACAAACTTACCCTTTAACCTGTGAGCCGTAAAATTCTGTTTGGTATGACTTCCTTGTCGAATTATTAGTGAATGACGTTTATAGAAACTTTTTAAACCAATTTGATCTTATTACATTACATAAATCCAAATTTCGAAGAACATTTTTCTGTTGAATGCGTAAGAGTAGAGAGAGAGAGCATCTAAAATATGGCTTTTCTTTCTTATGAACCTAGTGCTTTTATATTCAGACTGAATGCGTAACTTCGTGCATAATGAACGGGACGGAAGCAGTATGCGCTGCCAAAGGGTCATGTCTGGAGACTCCGTGTCTAGCTGGCGCTTACGCCATCGCGCGTACAACTATCAACGTGGTAAAGGCGTTGCAAGGCGCAAAGATCATTCAGTGCGCCTACGTCGATAGCCTTGGAGCTTGCGCTCCCGAAACACAGTACTTTTCTAGTGAGGTATGAACTTATTAAAATACCTAATGAGAGCTGTATTGCATTTTAGCACGTAATCGGCATTTAGGAATTTATATTTCCAAGATTTTGTCGTTTCTGTATTGAAGTGGTCTTCCCATTGCTACTTGCACATGCTAATTCTTGAAGCTATGTCAAGGCATGTGGTATTTCTACGACGACTTTTAGCAGCGCGGCGATTCAGTTGCGATGCAGTAGCGATGGAGTAGCTAATCGTCTAACTTGACACACACGCGCGACTTAAGTAGCGATTCAATCGCGTTGCAAACGCGATGCACGTTCTTATGATTCAGCAAGCGCGATTCAACCGCCTATAAATCGCAAGTATCGCGCGTTTGTAAATCGCCTAACAAGAATGAAAATCTGATATGCTTTGTAAGATATCACTGAAATCTCATTGACTTGAAATCATTTTATACAGGTAGTGTTGGGACCTGCAGGAATAGGGAAGAATTTTGGTGTACCGGAACTAACGAAATTTGAAAACTGTCTTCTTTGTAAATGTCTTCCGTACATACGTAACGAGCAAGCTAGAGCTACTTGGCTGGTGAGTGTTAAGATACCATTCGGGTCACATTAATTCTAGTAATTTGCTCGCGGAAATTAATGTGCCATTCGCCCCTGTGTCATAAAGTATTTCACTCCAGTGTCGACTTCCTTTGGCAGGTGTACTCGATGTGCCAGTGTTGCTGCAGCTCTAGCTGCTGCGTCCATCCGAATACCTGTTACAAATGTCCTGTCGTAACATGCGTGCCACCCACCAATTGGGCCTGCTCTCCTCCCGACTTATGCCGTGACCAATATCTTGCATCTGTACGCAAATTTTCTTCTCACTTAAACTACATCAAATACATAATACACATGGTTCATACATATTATATACAATTTTCCAACCAAAGTAAAAGGAGTAATCGTAATAGTAATAACTTTAGTAGCAGTAGAGCTCCTTGTGAAAGAGTTCGACCAGGGAAGAACTGCCACCTCACCTCAACTTACGTCTCAGGGTGACGGGTGCAGTGGCAGTGCCCCTTAGATCTTTGCAATTTAAAGCTCTGAATGGCACTATAACTATTATGGACATGCGTGTAGATTACTATCAGGCGCACGACTTGTTCGTCCGGTCACTTGAAAAAAAAAAATCGATAGGTAGGTTGGCGTTAACATTAAAGCCGCCATGATATCTTACCTTTGGTATATGCCACATGTGATCAAGTGTCAAGTGGTTTTATAACATGACAATCATCACAAATATGTGAAATTTTATAATTCTAGGAAATGAAACTAGTTTTCCAGATTTAAATCGCGTATATTTGCTTTTGAAACAAACCGACGTTTCGCGCCCTTTACAGGTCCCATGGCCACGGTTGACTGTTTTATAACTCCCCTATTCAATTATAAAAAGTTATCGACTAATTTCGTTCGTCGGACTCACTCTCCTGAAAAGTTGTCGTTTTGCAGATGTGGTCTTATTACACCAAAGATACGATATTTTTTTTATCATAGCAAGTGGCGGAACGAACATGTCGTGCGTCTGGCGGTAAACCTGTCCATAACAGTTGCAGTGCCACTCAGGGCTTTAAATCTCAAAGACCTGAGGCGCACTGCCACTACGCCTATTACGCGTGAAATAAAGTCGACAAACCAGTGATTAAATCAACTTCACCCTTAAATTTCGGAACTCATTAATGCTCACATTACTGCTTGGCGGCAGAAATGGATATGGTGGCTGTTCCCCGGACGAACTCGTTCACAAGCGAGATCGATATTCGATATACGTTTATATATATGTTTTATGTGTGATCTGGGTCAATACATAGCCGTACAAATATGAAATGGTTTGGTGTCAGATCTGTCGTGAGATGACGTGCCAGTGCGGCTACTCGGAGTTGGTGTGGCGTCCGCGCGACTCGGACTACGACGCAGCGCGCGCCGCCAACCTCAGTCACCAAATGCCTTATAAGGACAGCAACCGGTCGGCCATATTCTCCGTGCCGCGCTCCGTACGCATACAACAGCAAATCCGTGAGCGCGCCATGGACCCGAATAAGCAATGACAATTTTGTAGGCACTTTCACGAGTTTCACGGGCAGCAAGCAACAAGCGGCAACAAACGGTGAATCGGTCAGAATACTGAAATATATATACTGAACCACTCTTTAAATAAAATACTTAACCCGTCACGCGCGTCCTAGAGATGTACGGTGAACCGAACGGTTTTGAAAAAAATGTATTTTGTTTATAATTTTTTTATAAATAATTATGAGTTATAATTTTTTTATATATATTTTTTATAAATTTAAAAATATTGAAAAATGGTGGATGAAAACACAGCTGCACGTTAGAGACACGGCACCGAGTGGATCTAAGACTGCAGTACCGAGATCGTTTAGACGCGTGATGGGTTGTCAAAAAGAAGCTTTGTACCTCTTACTAAACTTAATGTAAGAGGTACAAAGCGGAGTTGGAGTGTTTAATAAAGATACCTGTAGTCCTGGCAGACCCACGCAATCGCCCTTGTTGTCGTTATAAACTGCTCTACAAATTGTATACGTGAAGATAGTAAAATGTTCTGTAGTAAAAAAGTAAACCGTGTTTAGCTCATGTTTTCGCTTGATGTTTATTTTTTTGCGTTCTGTTATATAAGAGACTAGACGATGCCGTTTTCGAAATATTAGCACAATATATGCTACATACAATATGGTATTTGTCCGTTTTTGTTATTTGTAGAAGTGAGCGTTAAATACGCACGGATGCTAACTTTCCAGATACAATTTAATTTTAAATAAGAAATTATAAGAAAATAACCTGAAAAAAAACACCTGAGTCACCTTTAGTACACTTTATTAGTTTCGGGAAGTCAATCATAAAGTTTTAGTTTAATCTAATTTCATGAATAAAATTATCGTATGGCAAAACAGGCGTGTCTTTTCTCCACTAAACGAACTCCCTTTCACCTGTGTCCATATGTCCATACCGATAGCCGACCGTCTTCGTCTACTTGGAATGGACCTGTCGTCCAATCTGAACTCCGGTAGTTACATTGAATCCATGGCCAAAAATGCAGCCAAGAAGCTTGGCATTCTTTCTAAGGTGAGGCGATACTTCACACCGGGACAGTTGCTTCAGCTGTACCAAGCACAAGTCCGATCGTGTATGGAGTACTGCTGCCACTTATGAGATGGCTCTGCTAAATACCAACTGGCCACCTTGGATTCAATAGACAAGCGTGCTAAGAGGCTTTTCCGCGCAAACGAGAGTACCATTTGACTAATAAATTGCTAAAGATGGATGGCCCTTATTTCGTCTCTATTTCTGGTTATATACTCGTTGATGTACACCTATATAATGCCTATTCTCACTTACGCCTTGAAAAGACCCAAGGTATACCGTTCAGGGAACTAGGGAATTGGTTGATGACTTTACCATTTGTAAGCCGTTACAATAAACCCCGTAAAGCCCTAAAACGGTTTGTTTGAAAAAAAAAAAGTACGCAAATTAAATCTGAAAAATAATTTTATTTCCAACTTCAACTCCCTGCCTAGTAAAAAAAATCTTTTGAAATGCAATAAAATTTATTAAAAACACAAAACAAATAAAATACGTTGTCTTTAAAATCGAAGATTTAAGTATTTAGAACACTCTTGTAATTTTCCACGCACCAAATAGAAACGATCTCGGAAAGCGCCGAGGAGTTTCACGTAGGGCACATCCAGGTCCACCTATAGACAAGTAAAAAAAAATTAAAAAATACCGCTTACTACAATAAAAAGTAAAATATAAATCTTTGGAATCACGTGAAAACATACAACGAGCAGGTGCGACGTGATAGCTAATTTGAAATGTAGGCCGCGTCCGCACTTTCAATGTAAATGGGCCTTTGAAATCAAGCATACTTAGATTCTACTTTTCCACGGAGCTTAATATTTTAGTTCGTCTGTATACTTTTTTAAGAATAAGCCGGGAACTACAACAACTCGTCTTTACATCGGCTACATTTTAAAAACACAATACAAATATGTATGTACATAAAAATGTGTCTGCCTGGAAGAGTGGTGTGATTTGTCGCGATTAGTCGTCTTATTGCTCAGGGACTAATCAACTGGTCGAGGTGGCGTATAAATCCTGGCAATTTGGTATAAGGTTTTGATATTGCTATAATTTCGTTTTGATGGAGGTACATTTTTTAAGCACTGGTACTAAATAGGACGGTTTAGTTAAGTTTGATACGTAATCCACCATGCTTTCTAATGGGAAGTACTTTCAAAACTCATTACATTCGGTATGAAGTTAGTATGTGAAATCTGACAGGAAAATGTGTGTGTCGGGGTGGTTGGTGTCATACTTAGCATAAACATAAAGACCATAAACTGGGAATATTCTAGTCTATACACGACGTAATTGTTATTATAAACGAGGCGTTATTGGACGTTACACAAAATGCTTGTCGTAACCTGAGGCGATTTGTTTTTTTATTATTTTACTAATTTTAATTGAATTCTTATGCATTTACCTATAACAAAGAAATACGTGTGGCATACTGAAAGTTCCTGGAACGGACCACTTGTAAATGAAAATAAAAAGAAAAACAAATATGAAATTTTAAAAAGGACCTAAAAAGTAACCTATTCACAGAGAGCAGGTTACTTTTTACTTTATGAAACTGTGATTTGTTTTCTCATTGTGGCATCGTTTTGAAAACTGTGAGTCGCTATTACAATGAATTTCAGTCGTGAAAATTTTCGATCCATGATTTACTATGATTTTCGATGTGTTATATTTATAATTATATTATAAAATGTGTTAATTATTAACACAAAAATCTAACACTCTTCTCGAGTCATTGCCTAAAAAAATTGCCTCTGTAGCCGAACGGTTACCACCCTGGGCTGCCATGCAGAGGTCTCGGGTTCGATTCTGGGGTCGGGAGAAATATTTGCAAGGCCTACATTTATTTCTCTCGTGACTTTGGGTGTAATTTGTGGTTATCTATGTGTACATGGCACCCGCGACACAGTGTTTCCCTAGTGCGGGGCCATGAGTGTGTGCGTTATTATTATTGTTAGGTATTATCCATCACAGAAAAATTCCTTCGATCTGATTGGACTCGAACCATCAGTGTCCGTTGCCATGTCGGTGTCATCGCTCTTAACCAACTGAGCTACGTCTGAGACTTGGAGAATCTTTGTATCAATAAAATAACAAACCAGTGAAGTATTTTCACAAAAAAATATATATTCAATAAATAAATATTGCAATGTTAGAGGATAACATTCTGCCTCACGCAAGTGGAGGGTTGATTTTTAAAAAGTCGCTGTTTCCCCAAGTCGACTCTTTCAGTCAGGACCGTTAGTTCCGACTGTTCGAACAGAATGGTAATAATGGAAGCCAGGTATCGTAAAAATAACGATTACAACTTTTCATTAGCCACGCACACGTTGAAAATTCGAAATCAGTAATATTTTTAGCAGTCATTTTTTTTTATCAAACCACGGAACTAGCAAGTCTTTCGCCTGGTGGCAAGTGACTTGACTGTCCTTAACAGTTGTAGTGCCTCTCAGAGCTTTAAATCACAAAGGTTTTAGGAGCACTGCCACTCCGCCCGTCACCTTGAGATTAAACAAGTCTCATGTGCCTGTAATTTCACTAGCACCCTTGCCCTTCAAAACCATTATCATCCCATTTTAGTA